GGCTCTGTTTAGAATTGGTTATTAAATATTCTCAGGTTTAAGGTGGAAACTCGAGCCGTTGGGCGCCATTTGTTGCTGGAGGGCTTCTCTCAAGGTTCCCCAAGCCCCGAAGGTGAGGCCAGGATGCAGGACGGGGCCTGAGTCTTGATGCAGAGCAGGAAAGGAGCCTGAGACTCTCTGCGGCTGTCTGCCCTTAGATGCCCAGCAGGGCAGATGGAAAGGTAAGCACCAAGCAAAGAGCCACGGGGCAGGAGGGAGGTGATCAGAGGCAGAGGGGACAGAACATCGAGAACAGAGGACAGGACACGCCATCACTGACGTCACCCTGGCCCAGTCTGCCTTGAGCTCTGCTGCATGGACAAGGCAGCATTCTCATGGGCTTCCTACTTCCCTGTCTTCAATCTGCCCCTCCTGCTACCAGTGGGGGTCTCTTTAAGATAAGATCAGCCATGTCACTCCTGAACAAACTTCTTCAGCAGCTCCAATTGCCTACACATCACAGCAACTCTGCATTACCCCGAAGGCCTTGGCTCCACAGCTAGGGGACACTTGGGGGCTGCGGGACATCTGACTGCATGCTCTCATGGAACAAGAAGACTGAAGTAGGCCCTCACCTAGGGCCATGGCTTGCTCTCCCTACCGATGCTTTCTAGCCCCTCCCTCCTTAGCACATGGGTTCACCCCCTTAAAGCCACAAGCTGGTCACCATAACAGTTGTGTGCTCCAAGCAGAGAGAAGCACGCCTTTCATTGGGGTGCCAGGCCAATGAGGAGAAGCTTGCCACATGCAGTGAGCCCTGTCACCTCCGACTTCAGAATAGATCCTGATGTCTCACGGTCCCCATGGCTCTGCTTCCCCATGCCTCCACAGCCCCTCAGCGGCTGCTTAACCGACGTTCTCACTTCATCCACCCACTTCTGCTGGCGTCGTCAGTGATCACCTCACCCCCAAACCCAAACCCTCAAGTGGCCTCGTTTCCTCTAGAGCTGAAGCCAAAGTCCTTGTCTCATCCAGAAGGCCCAATGTGTCTGTCCCATCCTCCCCTCCCATCTCCCCTTCACCACGCTCCCCTGCAGGCCTCCCTGCTGATCTTAGATCTCACAGTGCACAGTCCCGCCTCCAGGGCAGCGGCACCCACAGGAATTGGTCATGGTTCAGAACCAACAGCACATAGCTCTAGAAGAGGAAATCGATTACAAGATTGGGCCCACCTGATCATGTTGGCTGAGCGGTCCAGCATCTGCCAACAGCAAGCTAGAGACCCAGAGGCCTGATGGCATAATCTGGTCCAAGTCTGAAGGCTGAGAACCAGGGGAGCGATGCCATAGCTCACAAGGAGACAGATGTCCCAGCCTGGAAGACAACCTCCTTCTTCGCACTTCTTCGACCTTTTGTCCCATGGGGATCAGATGATGTTTGGCCATGTGTGAAGTGTGGATTTTCTTTTCACAGTCAACTGATTACAATGACATTATCTTCTGGATGATGCACAGAAGCACTTAGAAACAAGGTTTTATCAGTTATCCGAGCATCCCTTAGCTCAGCCAAGTTGAAGCATAAACCTGGTCATCATAGCCAGGCATCAAATGGTGTGCTCTCTCCCTCACCTTATCCAGGCCCTACCCCTGTCTTCTGGTCATCCCCAACTGTCCAACCTCAAGTTGCCATGTCTATAGCACTTGCCTTGAAGAACGGCACCAATATGACCTAGTGCATCCTTTACATACATAACTTATTTGTCTCCATTTCCCTTCCCATGGATTATGAACTTCATGAAGGCTGGTTTGTTCTTTGCTGTATAGCTAACACTTAGAATACCCAATAGTTGCTTAAATTAAAGAAAATATTTTGTTAGCGTGTACTAATTACACGCAGTAACGGGTTTCATTGGGACATTTTCTTTGACCCTTCCTTCCTTCCATTCTTCCTTTCTTTTTTTCTTTCTTTTCAGACAGGATTTCTCAGTGTAGCCCTGGCTATCCTGCACTCACTCTATAGACCAGGCTGGCTTCTGCCTGCCTCTGCCTCCCCAGTGCTGGGGTTAAGGTGTGCGCCACCACCTGGCTGACTATGACATTTTCATACCCATACATAATGTGTTTCATATTCAGCCCCATTTCCCTCACGCCCTTCCACCCCTGTTGATAGCCTTCTTCCTCTTCCTTGTACTCTCTCATCTCTCTCTTTCTGTGTATGTACGCATCTACATGTGTGTGTGTGTGTGTGTGCCTTCTACTGTGTGTAATTTCTACTCTCATGTCTTTGCATATGTGTGCCAATGAGTTTCACTGGGGATACTTAAAGAACAGGTAGGAGGCTGGGCGGTGGTGGCACTCACCTTTAATCCCAGCACTCAGGAGGCAGAGGCAGTCGGATTTCTGTGAGTTTGAGGCCAGCCTGGTCTACAGAGTGAGATCCAGGACAGTCAGAGCTACACAGAGAAACTCTATCTCAAAAAGAATGAGGAGGTGGAGGGCAAGAGTATGAGGAGGGGGAAAGGATGAGGAGGAGGATGAGGAGGGGGAGGAGGAGGGGGAAGGAGGCGGAGGAGAAGGAGAGGAGGAGG